ATAAGATAAAATAAAATAAATAAAAAATATAAAGAAGAGGATATTTAGATCACCTTTTTACAATGAATGTTTACTATACATTACCGATAGGTACCTTTTGATATACTCCACTTCTAGTTGCACCATCTAACCAGGTTAGCGAGTTGACATTGTCTTTAAAAGCTTGAATACCTTCATTCATAATTCCCTTTGCCTTTATGCATAGAATATACTATTTAGTGGTTGTGAGTGAAATCGAAAAACTAGTTTATTAATTAAAATTTATTTTAACGAAATTAGTGCTAAATATCAGGCGTAGTATCACCAAAACGAGCTCGCAGACCTTTTATTTAGTTTTTGATACAAACTAAACGAAACCAATATATTTAATTAATAATAGCATGAAACCAAGTTTAACGTGGAAACATTTCTAATCTTCTTGGTAAAAAAAAAAAAAAAAAAAAAAAAAAAAAAAAATCCTCCAGTTTTCCGTGGTATCTCTTTCTTATTCGACACGATTTTCGTCACCAAGCCGTCAAAATATGTTGTGGACTCCCTAGGCTACGTGGTAAATAAGTGGAATAGCAAAAGGTACGGTCATGTACGTAGCCAGCTAGTCTGTAATCTGATACTTTTGAGCTACGACGTCATAGTTCTGAGTAATCTACTTGAATTAATATCACTTACCAAGCTTATTCCCTTTGCAATTTTTGCTTGATTGTCATAGACATATGCAGCTGTTGTTACGTCCTCAAAAGATTTAGAAGCTGAGGCAATGCACTTTTCCCAACGTTCCTTTTCAGATTTAATATCCTCTTCTGCTTGGACATATTTTTTCTGCGCGTTTCTGAAAGGTGCAGAAAGCCACTCGATCTCGCTCTGTATCACGTACCATACCATATAGTTGGCCATTATCCTAAACGAGAATAAAAACTAGATGAAGAGAACTGCCTTCATTTATCGTTCTCATAAAGGCTGACAAGTGCACGAAATGACAAACACTGAATCAGTTACTGATTTTATTAAGAAAATAAAACATGTTTTATACCCCACCTCTTTGGCGTGTTCTGTATTATTCTCATCACCTTCTTTAGGTACGGTAGCGTAGGTAAGGTAATGACTTCATTTTTAGGGATCGTATTTGGAGCAAACAGTTTATTCATGTGATGAGTCCAGTCGAACTATACCAAGTACAAAACGATATAATAATAATAATAATGAAAGAAAA